CCCCAAAACCCCAAAACCCCAAAACCCCGTGATAAAGAAAGCTAATTGAGTTAAAATAATAAACATGGACTTTAAATTAAGTTGAATAAAGGTAAGCAGTGAGGGCGCAATGATCAAAATGTGCTAGTGAAAGGAGACAGTTTATACTGATTTAGAGACTTATATAATATAAAGCCTTTTGGGATATATTCAGACTTATAATCAATAAGTATCTACAATTTGTTTTCCTGATCTAGAAAATTTTTTGAAATTCCAACTAGATATTGTCTTGAACAAGAAAAAGAAAGATTTTGATAAAAATAAAAACACTCATGAATAGGAACCTATAAAAAGATTAGTCTAAAGTTAAATTTATATATAAGCAAGGTTGTACACATATCTAATCCTCCTTTTTGCATGGCAAACCTTCAATACTGATCATTCTTAATTTATAAGCCAAACTCTTTCGCAAAATGCATAAAACGAATTGAGAGGATTCGTAATTTATACTCTGATCTGGAAGAAAAAATTAATCAGGCTCAATAACTCTGAGATCAGAGACAGTTTCATTCCAAAGTATTTTCAGAAGAATCGGAATCCAAAGCTAGGATATATTTAGAGATGATCGATGATCGATGTTGGCATCTTAACAAATAAAACTCTAACTCATGCAGAGTGTTATATCAATGCCTTCATAGTATAGTTGCTGAAGAGGGTATGCATGCTACATTGAGATATCAAATTCTATTCGTAGATCATTTAGGTCAAATAAAACTTTAATTACACTAGATATGATCTGAACTTCGGCCTTCATATTCTCAAGATGAATCTTGCATGTTTTGGTCAACATTTTATACAAATTAGTATTTCAAGGAATTTAAAATATCAAAGGAGAGCCTTTATCTATTCTGGTGTATGCAGAAATAGTTATTTAATACTAATATGACTAGGAGCTTTATTCAAAATCCTACAAAAGCATTTGCTTTAAGACGTGGGATGGCAAAACCTGCAATTAGCTCCTTGCATGATCAATATTATGAATGTATTTATCATACTAAAGTTATAGCAAAGATGAGAATTTTCTGTATTTTTTAGTTAGTAATTTAAGCATCAAAGAGCAGCTCTCACTATGAAAATCTCCAAAAATGATGAAAGTAGAGGAGCTTTCTTCTGAGATTTTCTTAGAGAGAAGTTTAGGTTTGCTTTAAAATTTTCTATGAAAAATACTATTAAAGCAAAATATTGTCGTGCCTAAACCTAAATGAAAGATATGTAAAATGCATTTCTCTCTTTTAAACTCAGCTGTCCAGAAAGAAATAATTTAGAGGAGTAATGAGCTATGATACCTCCTTTATCAATTATCTAGCAAGTATTTCTCCCTCATAATACTCATTTAAGATAATTAGCGTTGGTAATAATTGTCAATAAATAGTTTGATGTATTTTTAAAAAATGTTGTGAAATTAAATTTGGTCGATGTACCAAATCATGCTCGCCTCCATATTATATTGATATCTTGATTTTTACGGTTAGTAATGCATGAAGGCATCATTTTATCAAACAATATTGTCTAGATCACATTTTATCAAAGAAAATATTACTAAAGGAGTGCAATCAGCATCTCCACCCATGAAATTTGAATTGTTTGTTTTAAAAGAGCTGTTTCCCATTTTCATTTCTTAAATATTTCTAAAATTTCTTGCTCCTAAAACATTATGAACATTCCAACTTGCACTATAAGAGAAAGCAAGTTCTTTATTATATTTTTTAACTCTTTCATAGACTTTTTGGATAACTTTCTGAGCAATTATCTGGATTCTCCCAAAATATCACACTTTCAGTATCTACTTTACAGAGTGAATGCAAGGATACTATAAAGATGGGGAAATATGCAAACCCTGAGATACTTCATGCAAGCGATGAGATGGACCAACCCAATGTACTGCTTGAGAAGACTATATGTACTTCAACTTTACCACTCATTTGTGTGAAAAGTGTCCAGATGGGGAATATTGGTCAGTTGTTAAAAATACCTGAATGAGTTGAGAAGACAGTTGCATAAACCAATGAAGAGCAAGGCCTTCTTGCCTTGAGTGACCAATAGGGAAAGTGCTAGACCTCAATACTTTGGAATGAGTTAATGCCTCAACTGAGGTTGGAGAAATGAACTGCAATGGAGTCATACTTGACAGTGGACTCCTCAATTTGAGTCCTGTGTGTAGAAGTTTTGGAGATGATAATATGACAATCGAATACTATGTTGACCCATTAAGCAATGAACCAATAGAGCTTGGGACCTTTGAATATCCCTATCGTTCATTCAAAGCTATGAACTTTGAACTAATATCCCTCTTTAGCCATAGTGTCAACTCCATTGTCTCATACACCAAAACTTGTTATCTTGAAGATGGGACAAATCACTACATTAATATGTCTTCTTTTTCTATTCTGCCCCATCCTGGGTATTCTGAACTCATTATGAATCCAGTGCTGATCTCCACATCAATGCCCCAGCCAATAGTTCATCAGAAGGCACTATTTCATTTACTGGATTCAGATAAGGCAGACCTCAAAGAGGCGAGGCAAGCCGCTGTTGGGAATGAAGAGTTTGATATTTATGAAAGATTTATAATGGAAGCAAAGGGAAAAACAATAACTGTAATGCCTGTCAGAACTAGCCTGAGCATCAAAGGTGTTGATTTATATAGAGAAGAGACTCAACCTGATGGGTCATTCATATTTCTGAGATTAGTAAATTTGCAACAAAGAAAACTTCATCTTGGTAATATCTACATTTTAACTTTTCTCAAATTTTAGACAAAAATTCTGAACCATATAACTTTTTGTGCCAATATTTAAAAGTTTTGAACTTTAGAATTAAGCAAGAAGAATTTTATTTCAAATATTTTTGATTCATACTTACGACATGCTTCTGTATTTTCTTGAGCTAAATACTGGACTCACCAAATTCATTAAAAAATTATTTTCTCGATCTAAACTTCATTTAGAGAATATCAATCTAAATATCACTGGAAAATTCATGGTTTCAGACAGACCTGCTAATATAATTATTGAACATATTCAAGCTGACTTAGCCAAACTCCACACTTTCTATAGTTCTGAAAGAATGGAGTGCAACTATCCAGAAGCCAACCTCGAAGCAACAATACACTTCAACAACTTTTCATTTGTGAACTCAGACATCAACAATGGAAGAGCACCCAAAGATATTCTAAGACTAAATGAAGTTGGAAACATAACTGTCCAGAATATTGATTGTAGAAACTATTTCTCATATCTTTCTGACTACAATGGGTGAATTGCTTTCTTATTAAGACCAACATGCACTCCTACTTCTCCTGAATTCCAAAATCTTAACTTTGAAAATGTGACGAATAACTACATCCATCCCTCTAATTTATTTTCTGTTGGAAATATTGTAAATCTAGAACAACCACACTACAGAACGATTAGCATAACTTTCAAAGGGTACAAGGCAGAAGACTTAAAGATCGACACTCCAAAACCTCTTGTAAGTCTGATTGGGTATCCCACTGACTCTTTTCTATTCTCTGATATTGAACTGAAGAACACCTCTAACACAAAATATTTACTCTCTGCTTATTACTTTCTTGGCATAAATGTAACCGGGGCAACTATCTCTGATACTAGTGATGGAAAAGGAATAATTTATTTTGACAATTGCATGACAACAAGGTTCAATAGCTTTGTAGTTTCCAACTATATTCTGAAAAGTGAGGTCTCATTGCCATTTATTTTTCTTGTTCCAATGGAGCAATCTATGTATGGTGTTTATGATACACTTGTTGAAAACTGAACATTTTATAATTCCCATTTTATCGAATCGAAGGGCCAAGGAGCAGTAATTGCTTTTGGACATGCTGTTCTTAAGAATGTCAGCTTGGATAGAAATAAAGCCTTTTTAAAAGTGAGCTCAGCTGTCTTTGTAGAGATTATGAATGCAACAATTATTGATTGTCTCCCAATTTATTCAGACAGTTCTATTTACTTCTTTAAAGAGGATACTATTATTATTGGTGAAACTGATTCCGATATTATGTACTTTACTTATGTTCAAGAAATCAACATTATTAATTCACCTATTTCTCTATTCAAAGTGGATTCTGTGACAGGTAGTGAAGGGGAGTATTGATTATACTATCTTGCTATTTCAACAATTTCATATAGCAATTGAACTATTAATCATCCTGACCCACTTATATCAACTGAAGGAATCATTTCTTTAGGATCATTGAATGTATTGATCTCTTTTGAACACCTAAGTTTTGTTGATGTTGAGCATAAACATGGAGATTTAATTAGATTTGCTCACCAAGTGCCTCAGCCAGTTAATTTCTTCAATGTAACATTTGAAAGAATTACTAACGGACATATTACCTTAGAGTCATCAAACCTACATTTTGCACATTTCAAAACTAGTGTTCAAATGATTAACACAATGATGGATCAAGATATTGTTAGTTCAAGTTCATTTTTCAGAGCCAAAAGGAATTCACAGCTTATATTGTTTAATCTAACTTGATCCAACTTTCAGAGTCTTTATTCAGATGGAGGATTTATTAGTGCAGAAAGTGATTCTATTGTGCAAGTTCATTTTTCAAATTTACGAAATAATTCTGGAATATATTCAACTTTATTCTCAGTGAAAGATAAAGCGAATATGTTGTTGAGTCAATGAAACATGATCAATAATTTTGCATTAACAAACGGAGTTTTGGTAGTAAAGACCTATGGAATTCTGAACATTCACGCCTCTGTTATTAGCCAAAATTATGCTCTTGAAAACTCAGTTGGAGAGGTATTGAGCTATAACCAAGCATTATCTCTAAGTATAGTTAATATTTCTGAAAATCAAGCTATATCTCAAAGTGTTCTACAAGGTGAGTTGATTGGATGCCGAAATCTATGATTTATTGGATCTCAAGTGCTTGATTATATAAAATCTGTTAATTTATCTTCATTGTCTTATTCAGATGTAGCAATACAGTTACTTTTTTCTCAAATAATAATTCAGAATACATGAAGAATAAGTATGCAGCCAAATTTCATTAATGCTTTTGCTTCTGATGTTTCGATATTAAACTCGTTTATCTCAGATGTGGATTTACAGAGCACAAATATTGCGATTGTTACCTCAAATTTAGTACTCAGGGGTGTTAAAATTAACAATATTACTAACCCAGATAATGTTAATTTTATTTTGATAGCTACTCAAAGTACACTCAGAGCAACAAATATCAATTTTCAAGATTCCCAATCTTCTTTATTTTCAATTCAATCCTCTACAATTGAGCTCCTTTCTGCTATTAAGTTTACTTCTGTCGTCAATGCAAGATCACTGATCGAAGTGTTACAAGCAGAAAGCTTTGTAGCTTCGGACATAACTATCTTAGACTCCAATGCAACAAACCAATTGCTACTATTTGATAGATCGAGCCAGATATCTTTGGAATCCATTCAAATTTCTAATTTACAGAGACCATTGATAAGTGCGTCAAAATCTAACTTCATTCTGATCCAAGACATTGTGATTTCAAACAGCTCCAAGTCGGTAGAAATGACAGAATGAGTTGTTGAAAATATGCAGCAATGAGAATACTCAAACAATGGGTCCAATTCTACATCTGAAGGAGGAGCTTTGAACTTACTTAATACTGATATTACTATTAATGACTCATTATTTGCAAATAATCAAGCGATCAAAGGAGCTGCCATCTCATTCAAATGCACTTCAAAGGCTAACTGAAACCTTGATTTTAAAAATTCAACATTGACCAGCAACTCTGCCACTGAAAAAGGAGGAGCCATTTACTATGACTACTTGCCTCCTAATACTAGTGAAGCTATTTTTGTAAACAACTCTGCTGCTTATGGACCTAACTTGGCCAGTTATCCTTACAGAATTGGCCTTGTTGGAAGTGAAAATAGTTCTGGTGTTGTAATCAGAAATATTGGATCTTCTATGCCTCTCGATGAGAATCTTGAACTTGGCTTATTTGATTATGATAATCAAATTATGAACCTGGATTCTTCAACTCAATTTTTAATAACTTCATCTAACATTGACAAAGGAACCATTAGAGGAACAAATTTAGAAATAATCAACAAAGGAATTGCAATATTCGATGACCTCCGTCTCATTTCTACCCCTGGCTCTAGTTTTGTGAAATACAAAGTTTCATCAAGGACTTTTGAAACTCAGAAGCTGTTGGAAGTTTACAATAAGTCTTCAACCGACACAGAAATTCTGGTAGACTTTAGGTATTGAAAGCCTGGAGAATGGCAGGTGGGAGACAAGTGAGAAGTGTGTGATGCCGGAACTTATTCACTTCAATGGAACTCCACCTCATGAACCCAATGTGTTGAAAATGCTGTTTGATTCGGTGGGAGCCAAGTCAATGTGGAACCAGGATACTGGAGGAGACTTGGAAACTCTACAACTATTGTTGAATGCCCTTACGGTAAAGCTTGAAAAGGAGGTCTCATCGAAGAATCAGGCTCATCCACCCAATGAAAGCAGGGTTACGAAGGCCCAATGTGATCTCAATGCAGCGTTCTCGACCAAGCTAAGTACGAGAGACAAGGAGAATTCCAATGAGTTAAATGCCCAGAACCAATATCTAATGCATTCAGAGTTGCAGGCCTGATAATCCTTGTGTTTTCATACTTCATGTATCTGATTATTAAGAATCTAAAAGCGAAAGAAAATGATATCTCAATATTGTTAAGAATCTTGACCAACTACCTTCAGCTGATTACTACCTCAATGTCGATGAGCCTAAGCTACCCAAGCTTTTTAAATTCTGTAACACTCCCTTTTAAGAGACTTGGAGGTTCTTCAGATACTTTTCTATCATTCGACTGATTTGTGACTAATTACGAGATCAAGGGACCATTCGAGTCGAATGCTGTTTTGAAACTATTCTTACTCCTTGTTCTGCCAATAATTCTCTTTACTCTGATCGCTTTAATCTGGATATTGGTATGGTCAGTCAAAAAGAAGTGGGTGAAGGATATCAAGAAAAATTTACTGATTTCAGCAATAAGCGTGATCTTTCTTTTGCACCCCAGACTCACACAGGCTAGCATCAATACATGGAGGTGCATAAAGGCTGATGAAGGAGTCAACCTCGCAAGATTCGACATGAGCATAGAATGCAACTCGATAAAGCATTTGAAGTACTGAGTGTTGTTTGCAGTCCCAATCTGAATCATTTGGGTGATAAGTATGCCATTATTAGGATTTATACTTTTGTATAAAAACAGGAAAGGAACAAAAGATAATAAAGTTGGGAGGTATTTCTTGATAATATATTCTCTTTGAGTTAGATAAAAGTCTAAAGTTTTAGAGTTAGTTTATAGTATTCAAGATTCGAAGAAAATATTGTTTTACATCATAAAATTTTTTGAAGTATATCAAAATAATTTCAATGTTAGAGTGGTTTTCTAGCCTTTCAGTGGGATTTCCATGGATTAATTTGAGAATAGTGTTCTACCCTCATAAAATGGTGTTGACCCCATGAAATCTCTTCCTACCCTCATGATAAACACCTTTACTCATACTTCCTAAGCCTGATTTGATTTGTGAAACCTTTGTTTACTATAAACATTAAATTCAATCAGGTCGCAATAGATATATCCTTTAAGTTTACTGCTGCATAAACTTTTGTTTACACATAATGTTGGTCCAACCCAGACTTGATTTATTTGACTTTAATTTCATATATTACTAAAGAGGTTTATTTCTAATTCAAAATTTAGAAAAACTCAGATCTCTTATTTGCATATTTTATACCAAGGTCTGACTCCAGAATGCTTCTATTGGGAGTTTATCAACACAATTAGGAAAACTTTGGTGCTTGCTTGACTCCTTCTCTCCCAGTATGTCAGGATATTTTTTGGAGTTAGCATTCTGTTTGTATCAGGAAGGATTCAGATCCAACTCAAGCCTTATAAGAATGAAGACCACAACAAAGTAGAGTTCTTGGCTATTAATGCTGGAGTAATTACCATCCTCTCTGGGTTGGTATTTTCTGAGCAAGATTCTGTTGAATCCATGGATACTTTGACACTTGCCTTAGTCTTAGGTGCTAACATATTGTTTTTAACTTACTGGACTTATCTTCTTTTGACAGGATATGAAGAAAAATATAAAGCAGCTCGAATAGTAAGTAAAATATTTAATTTGCTTAGATATCCCGACTGCTCAGTTGCATTCTCTGAATTAAAAGAGAGAAAAAGGAACATTCAGAAGAAAATACTGTAAATGGCAACGAAGAAAAAGAGCAAAAGGAAGATGGTATTTTTAATAATAAAAATAGGATTAGCACGCCAGAAGAGTAATGAACAAAAGAAGAAGAGGATTTATAAAAGAGTCTACAAGAATAAGAAAGTAAAGAAAATTAAAAATAAAAGAATCCATGATTCAAACCCAAGGTATTTTAATCATCTCAGACATAGTCTGTCCAATATTCATCAGAACCCGACTGAGAATATCACCCAAGCAAGAGTAAGCTTTTACCTAACCTTTCAGCTAGCTCAAATACCCACATCTAAAAACAACATATTCCCCTTTTCCTCAGAAATCTCCCACTCTCCTTCTTCTCACCCTCCTTTTGGTCAACCTTCCAGAGCGAAGCGAGTAGACTTTGACTTCTACCATGAAGAAAGTAAGGACCAAATAGATCACCCTCCTGATGAAATGCTCGCTTAAGTATTAACAATTATTTTATTTATGGAGCCAATAGTTTGAGTTATCCTCGGGGTTTTGGGGTTTTGGGGTTTTGGGG